AAACTGGTGGGCGCTTTCGCCTCCACTGGAACAGGCCTTAAGTTGTAAGAGGGGCACAAATCAGACGCACACTGGGGTGGCTCGCGTTGGCAGCCCAACGTCATGTAAGAAGGCGGAATTCATGTCGACATAAATTTCGACAAGTGGTGACCCCGACGTAAATAAATCACAAGTCAGGGAAGGCGGAATAAACTGCAACAGCTTTACTGCGAGGGCTGTATTTGTACGTCAGGTTTTTCCATGAAAAAGTATTTTTGTTGGGGCGCCTTGACTGCCTGATGACTGCTCTGTCGTCTGCAGCCAATCAAAATCAAGCAGACGAATCGGTTAGCTTCGAGAGTGCAAGCGTAAGGAAGGACAAGATCGCGCAGAACGCAAGGCTTGGCGAACGAAGGTATAATGAGTTAGCGCAGTGGTGCTGGGGGCGCTGACTCTCACAACCTCTAACTTCAACGTACCACCGCCTAGTAACCAGACAACACTACTGACTGTGAAAATTCCCGAAGTTTAGACTACGATCAAAGTCATCTGGCGCCAGGACTACGAAAATTGGATGGTCCACGCTGCTACTGACCCGAGAAAAACCACAGTATTCGACAACTGGCACCACCACCGAGGGATACTTTAACAGCCCCAGATCATGTAACACTGCCGAGTAAAGGCACCTCATCGCGGTTCGGTCAAACGCGCAAGCCGAAAAGACAAATACTGCAACCTACTTAGAAAATTAAAGGAACGTACTGTTGTGGATAGCGCGTCAATATGCCCGTTCACGCTTGACGTTCGACTACAGCCTCTGCCACAAATCTCACGCACATACACAAAGTTTCGCAGCTCCTCGTGGATAGCGTGACAAGAACGACGACGACGGCAAGAAGAAAGCTGCGAAACTTTCTGTGTGTGAGACAGATTTGCGCTAACGGAAGGCAAACATGAACCGGCATATTGACGCTACACTTTATGTACAGCGAAAAGAGAGGAACACACTGCGCGGAGGACGGGGGAGGGGAGGGGCGAGGACAAAATAAAGGCGACGCAGGGGGGTGGGGAAGAAAATAGTCCGCGG